AATTTGAAGAAAAAAGTACGCAGTCTTTCGCCGCTTTGGGACTCAAACCCACCTCTTCGTGATTCGCGCACTGACGCTTTAGCCACTACGCTAAACGGCTGATTGCCACACCGACGAAAATCTCTACACCTTATATCTACATTGTTTTATTGGATTTAAAGCAATGCTTGGCGCATTCATTGTAACTCGTAAATCCTTTACAGCATACAAACAATTTCTAACATCGTTTTACAACAATAAATCGAACGAGAAATGTTGCAATTGCTATTAGAATTTAAAATTTTATAGTGCTTATCTCTGCACTTAAGATGATGGCAATCAGCCGTTAAGCTTAGTGGTTAAAGCGTTAGGGCACAAACCCCGAAGACGTGGGTTCGATACCCACAGCGGCGAAAGACTTTGCGTCCTTTCTTCCATAAATTTTAATGTTTCCTCTTAAGTGTAGAGAAAAGGACTATAAATTTTTTTATTTACACGTTTATAAATCATTAAATGTCATCCATGAATATCCATTTAAAATTAAGATGTTATCAATTTTTAAGTGTTTCTCGTTGTCGTCACAAAATTAACTCGACGTGAATAACAGTTCAGTTTTTATTAGATCTATATTTATCTTTTCGGGTGCCTCGATGTTCGAAACGGGAATCTTGTAAGCGTGTTTAAGCAGAGTTTGTCGAGCGAATGGAAAATGATGGCAACTCTTAGGCTTATCGCAGTCTCAGATAACACCTGTGACGTTTTATTGCTTTCGTGACTAATTTTTTTTTTCGTTTTTACATAGTATTGTCCACGTTTTGCGTAGGTGTCAATGAGGCATTTATCCTTGCTGTTTTCACCATTCCCAGAGGTAATTGGTTTTGTTTTTAAACTTATACAATGAAATAATTCTGTTTGTACCTAGCTGAGGGAAGTGTTATGTCTAATACTTACTTTTATTTTATAACAAACATGACTCTTAAAAATAGTTTCCATTTGCCTTAAGTGAACTAAAATTTGTATAAAAATAGTCGTAATGATCACGTAGGATTTTGAATTGATTATTTAGGCAGACTTTCAAACTGCTTTTGATTGCCTTGATTTGGCTAGTTGGATCTTTACGCGGAAAAAAAATATGAAATCTAAAAACAAAAGTTCCTTTTCTACGATTTTATGTTTGTGTCACCTTCGTGACACAAATTCTATTTCCCGAAGCGGGAACAGTTTTTTTTTTTGAAAAGAAATAAAGTTTTTCAATTTATGCGAACCTTTAATTAAAAGTTTCCTTACTTACTTTATTGAGCTTAATTTTTAAATTGCACTCCAATTACTTTTCTCGTTTCCAAAGTATTATTTGGCAGTATTGCAAGACCGTCCCGACAAATTTCTCATTCATTTACAAAATAAGGTTCGCAGAATTGTTTTTGGATATTAGTTATTTAGTGTACATTTTTGTGTATAAAAAGAATTATTTACTCTCCTAGTGTTCTTTTTAAGAAAAGTTATAGTTAAGGTTAGGTTGCTAGACTTGGCGTAGCGGGTATTGAACCATTTTCTTGCGCTAAAGGGTACCACTATCAAGGAAAAGTATATTTACGCTTCGCTTAAGGAGGTTAAGGTTGTATAAAATTTTGCAGTTTTATCAATAATTATTTTCAAAGTACAGTCCCGTAATCATACAAATTCTGCCTGTATTGTAGACTGCTGAAATCATAACTGCTAAATTTCAAGAAGAGAGCATACTCTTTCCTAAAAGGCCGGCAACGCATTTGTAAGCCCTCGGGTGTTGCAGGTGTTCATGGGCGGCGACAATCACTTACCATCAGGTGTGCTTCCTGCTCGTTTGCCCCTTTTCTCCATAAAAAAAAATATTCCCTTCAATAAAATTTTTCCGATGTTTATATTAAATAATATACATGTAACTAGTTGACCCCTGCGACATTATCGAGTTCCGTGATCATCCGCAAGTAGTAACATAGTAAAGTAAAATAAAGTATCAGCCTGTATACCTACGATGTCCCCCTGCTGGGCAAAATTTATTAAATATGGAATCTCGTAGATTCGTGCATTATAATTGTATGCTGTATAAAGTCATTCGTAATCGAGAGCCATAGTATTTATATGGGAAACTTCTTTTTTCTGAACGCAACACCCGGGTTGCAAGTCGATTAATGCACACAAAACTTAAAGAACATCTGCGTAAGGTGCAAAAGCAACAGGGCTAAAATACATGTGCATTTTATATACTGTGTACATAGTTTATGTATTTTTGATTAGTGACTTGGTGTTTTCGTCGAGCTATATTATATTGATGTTTGCATTTTTTTTTTGTTTTGTTTTTGTTTTTGGAAATAGTTTTCTTTTTTTATTCTGTTCACTGCTTTTTACTTATAGATGTTAATTTTCATTACTCGTTATTGTGTAAGATAGTACTTTAGAATAATGTACCAGATTTGTGTTATAATCAGTAGGTATTGTGTTATTGTCCTTAAATTATTGTACCCGCTATGTGTTAATCTTAGTCTAGTTTGTTATTTATAATTTAAATTTTTGGTATGTACTGAAAATCGGGAAATCGTACCGAGTACATACCTATTTGGTTTCATATCTTAGTTATATATTCTTTTAATTGTGAACATAACTGTGTTGAACATTGTTGTTGAAACTAAATAAATATTCATTCATTCATTCATTCATTCGTTCAAAGGCCTCCTCTGTACGGAGGGTATCTGGGCAAAGTCCACCACGCGGCCCCACTACGGATTGGTGGACTCACATATCTTCGAAATATTTTTTTGGTTTCCTCACGATGTTTTCCTTCACCGCTGAGCACGTGATAAAACAGCACTTAAAATTGCCAATTTCATTGGTGCTGGCACTGGGGATCGAACTCAGGTTGCTCGAGTATATTAAATTAAAGGCGAGCGCCCGGACACTAATCACGGCTCACAGTAATAGTAACATAATAATGGTAAATAAGTATTTATCAATGAAAGGTATCTTATTTTGAAGGACCACTCTCTTTTCATTATTTCTGATATATGATGGTAAATAAACTGTCAATATATTTTTAGTATTTTTGTTATAAAACGTTTATTCTACTGTTTCTTATATTTTCCGCCATTAGCGACAAGCGACCTTTTCTTTGAATCATTAAATTTCATGAACATTTATGGAAGTTTTGTCATACCGACAAAAGCACTTGAGCTTTATAGTATGAAGAGTCCAGAAACTTTGATATCTTACAATTGCCAAAAGGTTAATACGTTAAGAAAAGTATAAGGAATACATACATGAATACATATACTATGAAACAAAATCTCCATACTAGAACTTGATAAATGTATAAAATCGACGAATACATCTGGATGTTGTGATAAACGATATTTTTCCTAAGTTTTGTTCCTATACAATAGCGTATTATTAAGTATTATTTCAAAACCTTACCAGTCAGAGACCTGAGATACTTCATCACTAAGAGCAATTTCATTGTTGTATATGGCAGATTATAAGCTTTTGGTTAAATAGTCATTGTGTTAAACTAGATATATTGCAAAATTAATACATATGAATTATACGTGGATTTATTAAAAGTAACGCCTAAACACGTTATAGAATCGGAATTACATTTACAAAATTTCTTTCCAAGAACTTGTTTTAACTGATAAATTTATTTTAAAATCAAAATCTCTTTCTGATAATAATTTATTTAATACCTATAATCGAAAAACTGTTCTTACTGTGCGATAATGTTTTTCTTTTTATGAGAGATGGTGGCAAGCGATCTTGTTATTCACCTAGTTAAGTGTTAACCGCCGACCACCGACATTCGGCACACTTGTAGGGTTGCAGATGCGTTGCCACTTTTTAATAAAGTGGGCCCAGCTACCTTTTTTTTTTGTATCGGGGGTTTTCAAAATATACCCTGCCACCTTACATGACAGGGGTACGTGGGGTTCTTAGCCACTAAAAACCCCTCGGTGGCCACCCTCTGTACGTTTGGAAGGACTCCGGGATCTCCCACGAAACGCACCGGTGTCCCTCAGTACTGCGCGTCAGCACTCCTCGGAGAAGGGTACCTTCCCCGATTCCCTCACCATCTTCAAGCTATCGCATTTTGATGTTGTGTGTACGAAATAAGATTTATAGGAGACTAGGAGAAAAATATTTTATTCGCAAAAAATTCATTTCATTTAATGTCGGTGACTGTAAATGTTTTGTCTTTTTAAAAGCTAATTGACTACACAAGCTGACACAAATAAGAATTTAGAACTTTGAAACTTTATTGATTATGGTATTTTGTATCGTGGTTTTTGTTGTTATTATGTGGGATTACTTCTTCAAACAAACTGTCACGTTTAACCAAATAAAAAATATTATATAAGCTTTGCGTAGAGAAGACATAGGATAGCTTGAGTTTGTCGAACATTTTTATTATATTAAAACCTTATATTCACTTTAATCATTGATATTTTAGAATATTATTTAAATAAGATGCTTTTACGAGTTTCCTTTTACAATGTTTGGTCAAACTTACAGGAACTCGTTATACAAACTTTCTCTTTATTAATATCCATTTTATTAAAACACAAGAAGAATGTTATATTTTTAAAGTATATAGCAAAATCTTAACTGGTAAACTAGTCTCCACATTTTAAAAGGGAATAGTTGTGGCGAGGAGAAGCCTTCACTGGTCGCCGTGGAATCACAAGTGAAGCAAGTAGTGTCAACGGACACCTAAGCTTCTTACATAATGTTTATTTTTAGTTCCTTGTTATTAAATTTTGTTAAAAAAATTGTCCCCCGGTGACGTCATTCATTATTTAGAGCGTCGGTTTGATCCATGAGCGAAATGACTACATACATCACGTGAAATTTAATTTCCGGACCGCACGTTCTTACGCCACACTACCATTCGTCGGTCAATTATAATACGCGTGGAGCCCATGCCCTCCGGCTGGGCTTTACGCTGAACGGCGAGCGAGGCGGCCGCTAGAGTGGCGCACAAAGATCACGTTTTGAAGATGATTTGTATGCAGGGCGAGGCCGAGGACGAGCTGCGGCTGGACGACGAGATGGAGCGCGTGGTGTGGGGCGATGGCGGGCCCCCGGCCCGGCTGCAGGTCTCCGGCGAACCGCTGCGAGACTCTGCTGCGCCGGTGCCTTCGCACCCGCCGCCGCCCTACGCACAGACAACGCAGGGTACAAACGCTCAGACCAAACGGTCAAATTATCTGTGTTTTTAAACGAAGGGAAAATTTCATAAATCACACAGCCAGTTCATAAGTTTACATTTATATTTCTATAGGCAATAGAATACCAATAACATTCCTTGGTGACTGTCCAATCAACCATACTGACATTTAATATTATACTATCATACTACAGTACACTTATATAAGAAATGTCCGTAAAAAAATGAACGATATATCTTTTTTTCTATCTTCTGGCGTCCTTGAAATTTACCTTTCAATTCTTGTATAATAATCGAATCGAAACTAAGAATTTTCAATTTAATTATCAGTCCTTTTATACCATAAGCACTGTTGTATAATATCTTCCGATTCCTGACACTGATTATATACGGATTTTCCATGTTGGTAAAGTTTTGTGTCATTAATTATCAAATAAACATTACATATCAACGTATAATAGACTTTTTTTGTCAATTCTGGGCTTATAGAATGTAACATTAAAATTAAAAATCTGTCTTTATTTCACTTTTACAGATAATGGTTTATTAAATTTCCTTGAGTACTTGTAGAATAGTAATAAAAATATTTAATGCTTAATACTTTTGCAGCATATTCGTTCACCAGAAAGATTATTTTAAAGTAGTGTTCTAATAGTTATTGACTTTAATTAAATCAACAATTACCTGATGAAACATAGACCAATTGTGTTTTAAAATTATTAATTTTTCTAGATGGAGAAAGTTTACCTAGTACTTCGGATATGTCGCCAGTGAGTGCACCACAATTAAGTATGGGATCAGACCATCAGGTCAGTACAATTATAACTAAATAATAAATCGAACAAAAATAGCATTATAACGACGTTTTACGTAGTTAACATAGTAATATCATGAGACGATCCTTGAAAACTTCCCACATTTCACGTGCACAATGAGTTTTCTGACTAAAAGTTAGGTCACATTCTACAGAACGACGAAGTGTGTCATATCATCGCGGCGAATGCCTAAACGTTCGCGCGGACAATGCTCTTGCGAATATTCCACAACCTTTACGTTGGCCGTGAAACGTAACTTATTCACGGCGGCTTTTTCGTTGGTCCTCGTTCTGAATTTTATTTATGCGCCAATTGGACCGTCGAAGCCAACGGAGCGCATCATAATCTCCGTTACGTGTACAAATCAAGGGGACCTCACCGTGAACGTCGCGTAACGTCTCGAAGGCCACACGGCGCCATGGAAAGGGGGGTGTCCCACTGCCACTGTCGGCGACCGCCGGTGCTTGTGCCCACCGTTTATTTAAGCGGGCATGCGACTCCACCCGATCGATACGGAACTCAACCTTGCTCCAAGGATCGAAAGGGTTATTTTCAGTCAGCATTCGAACGCCGCCGCAAAGCATCCTGTGCGGCGGGACACCCTACCAAAACTACCATCACGCACCCGTCGCTAGACTTTAAAGTGATATATGTGACAAAGACTATATGTAAAAGACACCCCCATCCTCCGTTTACTTCCCTCAGCAAGCGAAACCGCCGATTTTTCACAGCGCGGACTAAGAAAGGTAATTCCCCAATCAACCGCCAAATTCTTAGAACAGGTGAACTTGCTGCGGGTCTATTGATTTGTGTTGCAATGTGGGAGTACATTAATGACAAGACGAAAGATATAAACAATGCGTAAACGCAGTCGAACTCAATTTAAAACATTCTAACCCACTTAATTCCGCACACGATTACCGCACTGTGGGTAGATACTATTTATTAATTACGCGGAGCGAAGCATCCGTGTTCTTGTTTGTCAATGAATTCTAGAACACTAAAAACAAGGTCTAATCGATATCAAGTTTAATGCTAAACTAAAATCGATTGATACCAACAATGTTTGAATCAAGTGAAATAACTGGTGAGTGCATAGATTTTGCGGCTGACCATGGGCGTCTCTTACATTTAGGTGAACCGCCTACTCATTTGCCGACTTCTTTAGAAGAAAAACCACCTTTTAAAAGCAGCTTGATCAAAGTGATGTTAAAGTTGTGTTGTTCAATATTTAATAGTGAAATTCGTACAGATGTCTGGCCCCTGGTCGGGATCCGGAAGCCCTCGAGACGCCGATGACCGCCACGTTCAGTTCGACGGGGACCGTTCCGCACATGCGGAGGAACCACTCGACGATGCCAATGATGAACGACGAAACCAAAGAAATACGTAAGTGAACGTAGATTAGTCAGTAAAAGAAGATAAATAACCATTAATACAAAATATTATCCATGAGTAATATGCAGTTGTTTATGAGACAACACAATAAAGAGCAAAAGAGACGTTTGAAAAATTACTTCTTATCGCTTTATGCTTTACAAATAGAGTTCTCGTCCGTCGAGGTTACAGTAATGAGCTACTGACAATGGTGCAAATGTCGCGCGTCCGACACGGAAATATCACTCGACGATAGCACATGCGTCGTTTCGCAATGGTTATTATTATGCGCTAAGTGTTTTTACTTAATCATTATCCTTATTTCACCTTGTCCGTTATATTTCAACATGTAAGTATATAACCTTTCCTCGACCTAAAAAAAGGATTATATAAATCACACATCTTTGTTTCGCCTCTTTTGATTTTTACGGATTCAACATTTAACAGAGCTTTTATAGACCCTTGATGTGTAACTAGAATAGCCGCTCAAATATTTCATTGTTGCACGTTAATGCGGCTCGAATCTGTAACCAAATGCTTATTGAAATTGAATTTGGGTCCGAATTCATAAAAAAATCCCTTCGCGCGTACACACTACGTGGGAAACTTGGCTAGATAGCGCGTTCTGCCGTAAAGATAGTCGCTCGTGCGCTGTAGTACGGAAGTGTCTACCAGGTACGCGTCTTCGTCTAAAATAGTACCATCGCGCGACATTGGCGTGGCCACGGACTGAATCTCGCGCGGATGTGCGAAACCCGGCTAGCGTCTGACGTCGGGCTCGTGAACTTTGGCTCGTCGCTTACGTGATTTCTTCGTTATTTTCCTTTCGTCTGGCAGACGTTACTTCGTGTGTGCAAGTTCCACGTCTCGTCTGGCTTCCTAAGACGCGGAACACTTGCCAAGAACTCACCTATCAGAATAGGATGCTCACATGATTTTTAAATTGATAATGTAAGGCAACGCATCCATTTGTTAAACACGCTCATAGACCAATAATGCCGCAGATTTGTTTCAAAGTTTTGCCGTTTACTGCTCGCTATCTTATTTTGCGATGGTAACGCAAATCCTTATTTCCTTTCTTCCTTACTATCCTCACTTCCTTATCCCTACTATCCTTACTCCTTACTAATATTATAAACGCGAAAGTTTGTACGTATGGATGGATGGTTGTTAATGTAATACCACTTACTGGATTTGAATAAAACTGTACAAGCTCATACATCAAAATAACACATAGGCTATAATTTTATAGACATTGTGTGAATTGTCAAAAATATTACTTGAAAAGTAGTTGGGAAAAAATTCTGCCATCCATTCTGATGTGCGCTGCAAAAACCGTTCGAGTTATATGTACAAAATGTATAATGGAAATGTTTATCTTAAATAGTCCTACTGTAAAGCCCATGACAGTATATATCTATCGCTTACGTGTAAGCCATTATCGCCAAAATAGTGAACCATATATAAAATTTATAATTTATTTCTATTGCATATTTGTTAGTAACAAATTGATTCTTATCTATAGCTATGTCTATGCTATAATTAAAAACTAAATCACACTAATATTATAAATGCGATAGTTAACTGTCTGTCTCGCTTTCACACCAAAACTACTGAATCGATTTAAATGAAATTTGGTACACAGATGGTCTAGAGCCTGAGAAAGGACATAGGCAATTTTTTAATTGGAAAAAAGTGTTGATAAGGGTTGAAAATTTCTTTCTTTAAAAAATATAAATTTTTTTAAATCAACATATTTATTTAAGGGCGTCAACGCGAGTGAAGCCGCGGGGGAAAAGCAATTACTATATATAATAAAGGAGTAGCTTCCGTGTACGTTATCACAAAAAAGTTGTAGAACCATTTTACAAATTTTTTTCGGTCTGTTTGTCAGTCTGTTCGCTTATAACTTCAAATCTATTTATCGGATTTTGACGTACGTTAACTGCAATTTTGATAACTAATTACCAAGTGCCTGACGGTAAGGAAAAATATCGGACGGAAACCTGTACAAGGTACATGGTAATTTATAAAAATATTTGATGACTCCGTGACGCAGTTGCCAATTATTTGCGTGGCACAGTGGGTCCGTTCAGGCGTGTTCAGGTGGTCCACATAAAAATATCCAAATCATCTAATTGAAATAAAATTTTATAAAAGTGGTAGTTAGCTTTCACGGCATAGAATGATTGAACATTAACAAATGGTGGCTTACATTTTGTTTCATACTGTACTCTACATATTAGTGTAACGTGATTTTATTTAATCGTGCCTCCGTGTATTCCGTAAGTTGGAATAGTTTTCGCTAACACAATTTCTGATCACTCTAGGGAGAAGCCTTAATTATGTAAAAAATGCTCTAGATTACTCTAGATTGTTCGAAGACCCAGCGCCACACCCAAATATAATTTGTACAAAAATAAAGGTAGAGCATAAATTTCTCAACGATAATTGTCAACGAGCTTGCGTAATTAGTTCTTTTTTTATTAGCAAGTGTCGCCCCTTAGCGGCTTTGAATGAAGCACGGTTCATTACAATAGAAACTTCGAAAAAAGTGCTTTGAACCTGTATCGAACGTATTGCGACGAAATACGTTACACGCACGCACGCACGAATTGTATGACATTTCTAATAGGCTAGAAAAAACTTAGCACGCACGAATTGTATGACATTTTAATAGGCTAGAAAATACTTAAAAGAGGGTGAACTAAGACGGGTTCCTGTCATGTCTTCTACACCGTTATTTATTCAGCGTTTCAAGTACAAAAAGAGAACTTACTAGTTTCGCCTAGGGGAAGTACAGTGAAAATATATAACAAAGACATTTAAGTCTTTCTGTTATTTATAATTACATATTTCAAGCTTTGACCGAATAACCAGACTGTCGCAGATAACGTCTAGTGGTGCGCTTTTTTGAAACCCTCCCACATTCCAAATGCTCTTATCAAACTTTTGATTATGACATTATTATTTATTTATCTTTTGCATTAGCTGTCCATTTAATCTTTTTGGTCCTATCAAAAATGTAGATTTATATGTCTGTTAAATATTAACTTCAACCTTCAACTTCGTGGTAGTTTAAGTATTTTAGTATTTTTGTGTATTCTATTTTTTTTAAATGTTCACAATGTTAAACAAGCTTTATGCTGCACCAGCTTCCAACGGAGCTATTTATATTTCGTGGCTTAGCATATCGATTCGCTTTAATTTGTAGTATACCAATGTTTTTCCGACAAAATAAAAACATGCCTAATTTTTTCCTTATACTAGATATTCTATATCACTTTATTCTATTATTTGTATTGTATTCAGTTATCACTTTGATAGTAGCTTCATTTGAGACGTAAATATGATTTATTTGCGATTATTAGTTTTATTGTTCTTGATTCCGTCGCGCTCTATCGCCCCCTGCCCGTCTCGGGTGACTGAATTCATCTCGAATATTCAAAAGCCCTTTGCGTCCTTGTCGAATCCTCAACGAACTGAAACGCGAGTATGCGCACAAGTATTTCTATAGTTTAAATTGTTTATTAAAGATCAAACGTCTATAATTCTTGTTTCTACAGCCTATGATGAAATAAAACTTCAATGATTGCAAACCTTATAAGAGTGAGTGAACATGTGGAAAAGGATTTTTGTATTGAAGAATGTGGTAAATGAGTAGGATAAATGATCACCACTGCCCCTTGATATCAAAAAGACTAGGGATTGCTGTGGCACTGTCAATCATTTCAAGAGCGGCCCCGGTTATTCCATTTGATGCCGGTTGTCAGTGAGAGTAGTATACGATTTAAAATTACAGTTTTTTTTATCTGAATCACGTAATGTGCCGTTCTGAGTTCCTTTTTAAAAGTTACTAGTTATGTTATGAAATAGCCACATAAATAGAGCAAGCGGAATTAGTAATATAGAATTCAACCACTAACTATTTTTTTCTATAAATTGTCTATAGCAGCAGACGGTTCACCCGATGTTAAGTGAATACCGCCGCCCATGGACATCTGCCACGCCCGAGGGTTACAGATGCGTTGACAACCTTTTGAAAATTGGGCTCCGGCTACCTCACTCACCAGACGAAGCGCGAAAGTATTTGCCATACTTCCACTTTACGCTGGTCTTCTGTGAGGTCGCGGTACTTACCTGGACAGACCTGCCCATTCGTGCAACAGCCGAGGCTGCTGCGTGTGCTGAGATTGCTTGAGGGCTGTTTTCTCCAAATGATTATTCAAGCTCAAGAGCCCTTCAAAAGGGCCTTTTTGCCAAACGAACATATTTGGAGATAACTTTCTCTGTAAAAGTACACGCTGAACATTTGAAGTCATTTTATATGAGGCAAAATGTTTCACAGCGTGGAAAACCATCGATTTTGAGCATTGCAGCTAGCTGGTTATCTTTTTATAGGACCATCTCTTCTGGCGAAGCTTTAATTATACTTGCCTTGTAGATTTATCACAATTTTTATTTTTCTCCATCGTCTTACGTACAACGGTTAAATTATATAACATGGAGTTATAAGTGTTATTGGTTGCTATATTAAAACCATGAAGTTAGAACACCGAACGTGCCAAAAGAAGTACTTATAACTTCAAAAACGAGTAACTAATGAGGCAGATAATTTGCCAATTTCTCAACAAACAATATATACCATTCATAATATATCGATCAGGTTGATTGAAGAGCCGATGAGTTTGTCATTGTTAGAATTCTGTAATTAAAAAAAAGGAACGGGGATTGTTTTATATAAGAATTGAATTTAACGTAGTGACTACACGTTAAGCTGAGAGAATATATACATACATATGATTATACTTGCGAAGATAGATTAGAACAAATAAATCAAATGCAGTCTTTATGAAGTATATAATTTTCAGATGAGGTTCAAACCAGAACAGCAACAAATCTCTATAGCCTAAGAAAAAGTTAATTAAGGACTGCAGAATTATAATTTTAATCTTTGATAGAAGAAAGTTTTTAAGACGATACAAACTTCGTAAGATATTAGTTACTTTCAAACGCACATAATTTTAGTGAGCTTGCTTTAAATGGCGTACTTTGATGATAATCTTAAACACAAGATCCTTAATAGTGTGTTTCTGGACAAGAATAATCCCATCAAACATAATAGAAGAAAAAGCAGCTCAGATACTTTACTAAAATAACAGACATACGAGTGCTTCATCATGTGCTTCACTTGTTTATTGAAAGGCTTTCGAGGAGTTAATTAAAACCATTACAATAATTTCGACTGACTTAATATCATCTACATGACTGGCCCTAAACCAGAGGCATGAGGGCTTAAAAGACAAACCAAGATAGTTACTTGTGCACGCAAAACTCAATAAATTTCGGATGCAAGAGAAGACTATATCTACTAGTATATAGGCTGTATATACAGCGTGTCGTTACCATCGCGACAATAAATGAACACACGTCTAACGCTACTTGCCAATATTCATTCAATCAAAAAATATTAACGTTAAACAAAATCCATAATTAAAAAAATATTTTTCAAACAAACTAATTAAGTAAAAAAGAAACAAAATTTGTAACATCCTATACAACTCGCGCCACAGCGTCGTATTACAAGCCTCTCCTTCTAACAGTATGTTTTGTCTCTTTTAAATTCATTCTACTCATTCATATGCTTTGTGACCTTTACAAATGAACTTTACGTTACGCTTTTATAGGAAAGGGTGTTCTAAAATTGTTTGTTTTGGAAAATTTAATAACTCGGTAAATATTGATGTTTAAAGAATGTAAATGTTTAATACAATTTTAAAAAGTTATCCTCTATATGTGTGTTCATTTATTGTCGCGGTGGTAACGACACGCTGTATAAAAGCAAAATAAACCGCATTCGTTTTCCGCATTGTGACATTTATAGAGTTAATAGGATATTTTAATTCTCAAATAGCTATTACCATGTATTACGTTATCAGGAACATCTTAGTCTAATTGAAACATTGTTTAAAACAACAATATTCTTTTTTTCATTAAAAACGATTGGTTTCTTACATGTGATGACAGGATAGATATTTTCTCAACCAACTGTTCGCATAAAAAGAAAAGAAAAAAAAATGTCCTTACAAAATTCAAATTCCTGCTTCTCGAAATCAGCATTCAGTTTCTTCATCATTTTATGGTCGTTAATTCAATTGGCAAACATATTGGCAGTACATTATTAACTCTGGTATTCGAATGGATTTAATTGGATTACATGTTTCGACACTAGGAAACTGATATTACAAATACCGGTAACTTTAATGTATAAGATAATAATTGATTGTGGTGTACTTATCGTTATGTTCGAAAGAATAATCTAATAAACATATTATATAACAACAATACATACAGTAAAAACTTCCATACTTATCAGTTATAAACATATTTGTGCACACTAGTGCCAATTGATTGTAAATTTTGTCTTTGAAATCCCAACCGTCGGACACTGTGCCAAAATAATTAGCAGTAGAAACTCTACTTACAACAGGATAAAAGTATCTGAAATATATGCTGCTAGGATATTCTTTAATATGTTTTTATTAAATTTGGGTATCACTACATTTTATTTTAAACATTATAATCGACTAGAATGAATCAGCAGGATCTAGTATCCAGAAACCAGAGCAGGTCCAGATCTTACTGGATATCTGTTTCTGTTTGGTTACAGAAAGAGATAGATTTTTTTCCTTTTGTTTTTTTTAAAACCATTGCCCTTACTTTAGGATAACATTATCCTGCGTTGTAAGGATGTTTCACAAACATAAACTTCACGCGGTCAAACACCCAGATGCCAAACAACTATCTGTGGGTCACACAAATAGTTGTCCCGTGTGGGAATCGAACCCACGACCTCCGACGCCGAAGTCAATACCTTGGTCAAACTACGCCACGGAGTCATCATAGATACGTAATAAGATTAATTCATTAATTTATGTCTCAGCATAAATTTTGAAAAGTCGGTAGAAACTACTGTACGTTAATTATGTCGTTACCACCCTTGGACTATAAACCTTTACGAGGTTGTCATTCGCAAGCTTTCACACAGCGTGTCATAGGGATGAATACAATAAAAGTGGATCATCTACAATATCGGCTCAAGCAATTGACGGTGACGAAATTGAGTTGTTATAATATATGACACTGTATAAGATCTGTGATAGCAGTGTTCGGACGTTCCTTGATAATAAAATATACTCGAGCAACCTGAGTTCAAATCCCGGTGGCGGCACCAGAGAAATTATTAATTTTATGCTGACTTATCGTGAGGAAACCTGCATATTTTCGTAATAATAGCAAAATAACATTTCCAAGATCTGTGAAGTTCGCCAATCGTCAGTGTGGTCGCGTAGTGGACTATGGCCTAAAAACCCCGTGTGCATAGGCCTCCTTTATATGATTGAATTCCAGGTTTGATAGAGTTAACAAAAAATTCATAATAAAACACGGCTAAGGTTAACACGAATCAGAATGTAGACTTGCAAATGGATTGTGAGTGGATATGGCCTCGTCATAATTCTAGTGACATTTACTTCAGAATTTTATAACTATACTGCGTCAGTTATAAGTTTTTTATAATTTTAACTAAATGACTGTTTCACTGTGAAATTTCTATCTTCTTTATATAATATATAATTCTTCTGTACGTGTGTATATCACGGAACTGCCTTAACTGCTGGACCGATTTTAATGAATTTTTCAGTGTGTGTTCACGTGGATTCAAGAATGGTTTAGATTCACAAACGTTAATAAAAAAGTTATTAAAATTTTAGAATTTAAGACGTGTCTACAGGACAACATCTGTCCGCTCCGCTAGTATATGTATATTTCTCAAACTTTCTATATTCTTTCCGTAGGTACTTAACTTACTTAGCACCATATAAAATGTGGGACGTGCGAGTGGAGCCGCGGGCAAAAACTAGATTGAAATATATTTATACCATGTTAATAGTCTTTTTCATGTAATCATTAAGAATTCAAACAGATTTAAGCAAACTATAACTAAATATAAAAATAGAGTTTTATATATAGTATAAAAGAAGCATACCTAATTAAATAAAAATATTTCACCTACTTAGCATTAAAAATACTGACTATTCCTCTATTTTCTTTTTCGCGGATTATCATCATCATCAACATTGCAGCCTGTTTATGTCCACTGCTAAACATAGCCCTCCACAACAAACTGCCACGAAGCGCGATCTTGAGCCACCTACCTCTATTGACTTTTCGCGGACTTGTACCGGTCGCCACTCATTCAAATGGAGTTGTCCTACACTACGATGGCTGCTACTCGAGCACCTTTCTTCGCCATTATCGGTTCTTCGAGATTTCTGGCTGTCCCATAGCCACTTCAGCTTAATAACCTCGGTTACCTTAGTTCTACTGCAGATGTCTTCATTGCAAACTCTATCACTCAGAAAAATACCGATATAGCTCGCTGAGCGACTTCGAGGTTTTTTCATACGGCCAGCAGTAAACGAGCGAGTCTCAGTGTCAGCAAATTATAGATCTTCACTAGTAACACACATTAGATAGGATACTATATTTAAATAATATGTCTTATGTAAATCCCATAGCTAAAGCGAATTTAATAATACTACTAGATTAATATGTATTTGAAGCGTATGTATATATATATACGCTTGAAAAACATTAACCTTTTTCTGCAGTCATGTAAAAAGATAAAAACTGTAAAAGAAGGTGAAGGTAAACAAAGACGTAGTCATGCGGTAAGAAGTCAAACTCTTTACATTAGTTTGCCACATAGCTTTTAACTTTTTTCTTTGATTTATGATCATTGCTATAATCTACCACACTTTGTATACATATAACATTGTACTAACTCATTCTTTCACGTTACATAGTACACACTAGACCGTCACCGACCGTAAAATAAATGCGTTTAAACCACTGTTATACTACATGCTAGGAGACACCATCATCCGCACAAGTCGCGCAAGTATTCCTTGCAAGAAAGTGGGCGGGCCGGTGTTATTGTTGACGAGAAATCTGCGGCCGTTGCCTCTGGTGACGAGCCACTGCTGGAAGTTGACCAAGATGACTTACGTAGCCACCGCAGCGATGACCCGAGAGCACTACGACGACATAAGATACAGCCGAGGGTTTGTATAACAATTTAACAACCACTTTTTTAATACCAAAATTTGTACACAGTGCGTTTTAACTTTACAACTATTTGTGTTTTGATATTTTATATACATTTATTTTATTCCTTTCGTCTAATGTACTCCATATCAGCGATGAGTGGCTTCTAATTTTCTTTTCATATGTACGAACAAAATCATCGTTGTAGGGCTCGACGGTGCACGTCTCCCGCAAGGACGGTGGCGACAAGGTTGCTAATATACTTCCCGACGCCATTTACAAGAAAATGTACGACCACAGGCCGCACGCGGTAAGATTACTGTAATATCTAATCGTCTTTTTTTTGCTATTCTGATCCATACTAATTGTTTTAGGTAAAGTTTCTCCATATCTATTGATTACAAATCTAGATGTAGTCTGCGGAACACTATATCATGTAACATACTTTTTTGATAACGTACAGTACGTTTCGCGATGTCCTCCATGCAGGTATTCGTCCAACTTGACGAGCTTCTGGCAACAGAGGACGGTGATGCCGAATGGAAAGAGACTGCTCGTTGGATCAAATATGAAGAAGATGTTGAGGAAGGTTCCGCGCGATGGGGTAGACCGCACGTGGCTTCGCTGTCTTTCCACTCGCTCCTTAATCTGCGGCGATGCTTGGAAACAGGCGTCGTGCTACTCGATCTCGATGAAAAGGATCTCCCTGGTGTAGCCTACAGGTATTACAACATCCTCATTAACGTGAAATTAAACTGAACAAGTTGCAAAAGTGTTTAAAAGATAACTATTTTAAAAATAAGTCTCATTTGTAAAATTTGTTATAAAAGTTGAATTAAACTTTCATTAATTGATTTTATAATTACTATATATATTATTACTATATATATTATTACTATATATATATATATATATATATATAATTTTTTATTAACTTTTATTCTTCCACAGTGTAAGATTAACTTATTTAACTTATTTGATGTTCGTAGGGTTGTTGAAAGCATGGTTTCGGAAGGTTTAATAGAAGAGGATGACAAGCCCGTGGTGATGAGGTCATTGTTGCTTCGACACAAGCATGTTCATGATGAGAGGTTTCGTTTCTCAATCGGGGGGCGAAAACAGTCCTCCTACACAAGTCTCCAGGTTTGTACTTAATTGACTCGTGCGAATCGCCAGTAAATGTGCTACCACCGAAATAAGATATTGAAAAAAAAAAAGGAGAAATAAATCATTTTTATTGATAAAAAAAATGATCGAGAGCCCATATTCAGTCTATCTGATAACGATAAATTCTATTATATAATTTGATTAGGTTAGGTTACAGAATATTAGGAGGAGAACAGTGGTTTTGTAACTTTATTGACTTAAATGTTATGATGCACTAATCTAAGAGAAAACTTTGCGAACTAATAATCGATATTTGGTTAAGAGGAGATATTTGGCTGCTTGGTGATTTGGCTAGGCTCTCCGCCAAGATTTTATATAGAATATTGCAATGGAAAATTCCGATTTGCTTATAATAAGAAACGTATTCTCGTGCTATCACAAGACACTTATACCTAGTTAAATTTATTTTACATATTACGTTAGTAAAAATAACAATATAAACTATTCGGCCCAGGTTCACTGAAATGGTCGCTTTTCTATTTCTTCTTATTTTATAAATATCTCCAGGGTTTCAAGAAAACCTATCCCATTGCATTTTAAATATTCTTATTAGTAATATAAAAAAATTAAATTAAATTTTCTTCTAAAATAAAACATTCATCATAGATTTGAAAACATTATCTTCTTTAAAGTACAGTAAATAAAGTAACTAACAAATGTACGTGACCTTCATTAAAATATAAAAATTAAACGAAAGCCCTAGTATTGTTGTCTTATTCTCTCTGTGGAATGAAAACTCGCAATGTTAACACTCTTCAATTAAACAAGTAGCAATTATCAAAATAACCGCATTCATCGTCGGCGTGCTAAATTACATACACATCCGTTACAACGGCACCGGTTTCAGAGTTAACATGATTGTGACGTGTGCGAAAAGTCAAAAAAATGATAAGCGCCAAGATTATCGCTGTCAGTCACCTAGTCACGTTTATCGAAGATTACAGTGACACGTTTGGCATGTAACGCAGAATATGAAAATATCCAAGGTCACCAGCGGAGTTCCGGCCTAAGTACAATAAATACACGTGCAATAAACATAACATGGTGGAACAATTTGCGAATGTTAGATACGAAATTTAAACTATTTCAAATCCATCTTTGACAGAATTTTGCTAGCAACAACTCATTAAAAGCGCAATGGTGTTTTGCGTATTTCGATCGTATAGTTGTTGTTTAAATACACTATTATATCTATTTCTTTTATTGAATTTCTGCATCGCTAGTTTCGAATGGTAAAAGCGAAAGTTATAAGAAACCAACTTGCCAATGTTTTGAACAATGCGACGTCGTCCTTGTATTGCGATCAGTCTTCCAAACGCTAATTAAGTGAATATTGTTCGCTTTTACCTTTAATACAATAATTTTCATTTGTATTGTATTGTAACGATTCTAGGACAGGATATAAATACAAAAAAAACAAAAAAACACCGATAGACGACCCAGATTCGATGTTTATCGATTTTGCAAAAGATAAAACATTGAAATGATACCTAGTTAGATATTTAACAAGAAAATATATGGAAACAGCCCATATTTATGATGACATGGATATAGGAAATAGATAACATTTTATATATTTATTAAAACTTACGAATATGAAGAGGTTAGTGTGTACACTCGTAAAAAGTGATTTAATGAAATAATGAATGAATATTAATTCGTAATTTAACGAAACAAATTGTTTGTTTAAAACAAGTGTTATCGGTCATTCTCAAGTAATATTAATACTAACTTATACTATTGATAAGTGAAAACAAAATCGCTTTCTGATCAAATCGCAAATTGCGTCCAGTACAAAACATGACTTATACGTCCTTTATCGGGTGAGAGTTCAGAGACTACGGACGGTGGGAGGAATATCGGTACTGTACAGAAATAGCTAGGGCTAAGGTGCAATGTTGTGCAGTCGCTGTGGATGGAAGAGTCGGGCCCGAGCAGTGCTAATGGGGCGCGTATTCGATGCTCGCTCTGCTCAGCGGCGGGCGCCTGCCGTCGACACAGCGCCCACCTTCTCGTACGGAACCCCACAGTGCGCGTGTGACTTTTGCCTGCCATCAAACCCACCCCAGCACGTACCAGATATCTCGTCGTGCCCCATCAATCGCCATCGCTTGTTGTGCTTTGCGATATAATTCGACTAGGACACGACATCCGTTGGCGGTATCATCCTGCAGCCTTCCGTCATCGCAGTAGTTTTTTTTAGTTTGGAGTAGCTTGATCTGTACTTTCTACGGCTACATAGTACTCGAAACATAAGCGGAGGGAATCTGATTTTCAGATCGCTGTACCTACATCCTAGATTGAAATAGAAAAGTTAGCAAGTTATAGTGATTTGAACAATCTGATTTTAGACGCTTATTGTTCTTATAATTTGGTTAATTTTCTTGACTATTTATTTTAAATTTTAATGTTTCAAATTCGTGGTTGAAATAAGTATCTAATTGTTTTCATCATCCACAGGTATTTTTAGTACATATTTAAAATCCTCTTCCGTCCACTTCATTTCATTGTTTATTGTATTTTTGTTAAGCTATAGATACAATTCATTTATGTATAAAATATCATTTTTCAAAATTTTCCTTTATCGTAGAGTAAACCAACAAATGATAATAATAATAATAAACTATAGACGTTTTTATAATTGCTGTTTTCACTTTTATTAATCATAAGCTTTTGAATAGTAATATGCAATTTTTCTTTAAGATTTTTATTAAATATTTCATAGCTTTTTCTTCGTTCTAAACTAGTCGTCATAAAAGACTAGGGACTAGAAAATATAATATTATATAAATAAGATTACTACCTATCATGACTGAGGTAACTAAAGTTAATATTGAACTTAATCTTTAATTAACGCTATTCCTTTGTTTTGGGTTTAGAGCCTATCAGACCCTAAGCGACGTCGGAGCTCTTATGCGTTGCCCCACGACCGGGCGGAGACGCGAAAGAAGACGTCTGCACCAGGCCTTGAGCTACGTGAGGTCGAGTATGTGTCAGGAGCAGCGGTTGGCTCGCAGGACGAACTGCGTCGTGGACACAACGACTCCATAATGAAACGTATACCCGACGACGCTGAAGCGACCACGGTGCTCGTCGGTGCCGTCGGTTTCCTCGACCAGCCCACGATTGCATTCGTTCGTCTGGCCCAAGGAATCCTAATGCCCTCGATTACTGAGGTCCCTGTTCCTGTTCGTTTCATGTTCATCCTGCTGGGCCCCACCGCGGCCGACCTGGACTACCACGAGGTCGGCCGCTCTATTTCGACGTTGATGTCAAATCCGTCGTTCCACTCGATCGCATACAAGGCTGACGACCGTCGTGAGCTGCTCTCCGCCATCAATGAGTTCCTGGACGACTCTATCGTGCTGCCACCCGGCGATTGGGAGCGGCAGGCGCTACTGCCGTTTGAGGAGCTCCGCGCCAAGAGTGAAATGATCCGTCGCCGCAAGCGCGACGCGCTGGAGAGAAAGCGGGCTGCTGCCAAAGCCGCCGCACCACCCTCAGATGAGAAGAAAGCACTTCTAGCGGCTGAAACCGGTGGCCCTCCAGAAAAGGAGCCAGAAGACCCGCTCTCCAAAACGGGGCACCTCTTCGGTGGTGCGTATCACTCATTCAAATGTTTTTATTCATTTTTTCGACTTATACCTTAACCTGACTGTACCTATCACAAACAGGGGTCATACGGGACATTAAACGACGTTATCCACATTACTTGTCCGACTTCCGGGATGCGATCAACGTACAGTGCGCTTCCGGTACGATATTCATGTATTTCGCCGCCCTCTCCTCTGCCATCACTTTTGGAGGATTGCTCGCTGAAAAGACGTTCGGTGATATCGGCATCTCGGAAACACTTGTGAGTATAAAAACCGCTATCCAGAAATGTTAAAGAAAAAATTTAGTCCTCTTAACTCACCTTTTATATCACTTACATCTACTAGATATATGGCTATGACATTTCCATTTTTTTTTGTTTCACTGTTCAACATTTGACACAAAAGTATAGCGTGAGATCTTTGTACAGTTGCTTTACTGACCACATAATTTTCTATCGTTCAACACATATCGGAAATACGTGTCACGTCAGCAATAATTTCTATTTGTTATTAAAAATTTTAATATAGGTAAATATTTTTTAATTTTAATAATTAATAGTAAGTCGTAACATTTTAAGGTAAATTTTAACTACATTGTCAGATTTTACAATATTGCAAGCTTTCAAGACGAAAGGATTTCTTTGTTTAAATAAAGGTACTGGTGGCATTGCTAAATGTTCTCTTCGAAATTTTTATAAAGATGCAATCTTACATGCTATTGAATCTAGTAAGACACAACATAAGCGTGGAGTAATAATAATAGTAATTATTCGGAATTAACTCTCATCGTCGTAAACATATTTGTTATTTTTTTTGCTCTTACAAAATTATCATTAATAATTAATTGCGAATGGCTTTGCTGTTGTTTAAAATTGTTCAGTATCCGTTTCTCAGTGATACGATAAACGTACGCCAACTCGGCTTCTAGTATTCAATTGACAAAACAACTACCACCGTAACGTAATGTTTATATCACAGAAGTCATTATAAGGCGGCCCTATGAATTTTTTCGCGCTTTACAAGCTTTAAAAATTTGACCTTATCAATTTATGTATTCATTGCGGTGTGTGTACGCAGGTCTGTATGAGTCATTTGTAACTTGTGAACGTTCAGGGTCCGCCCCTTTATTTCACATGTGACCGTGACACCCATTTGTCGGCTGCTACTTCAAAGCTCCGTGTTTAACCCAGAGAAGTAGGGTCATTATTATCAAACCAGTAGGGCTGTATCACAATGTAGTCCCTAACGCTTCGAGCGTTGACGATACTCTCTGTGAAAGTTCTAGATTGAATGTTCAAAATAAATGTTAATTTAGACTTACTGTATCGCAAAAAAGGTAATAAGGTGTTATAAAGGAATAGTTTAGCTAGTTTCTTAAAGATAATAACAAAAAACGCTTACGGAATTAAAACCAAACAAAATTAATACTACTGCTAATCTTAAGTTGAGATCGCATAAATTACTTTTGGAGCATGACGTGCTCTGGAAGTAATTAATTGTATTGATTTCTATTGATTTTATGCCGAATGTTTTTGCAATCGTAACAGTTCCGTGGCCGGCTTCCAGGTATGAGGCGTCAGTTGCAGCACTTGTGATATAAATTGGTTTTCGTTTATGGAAACTTTTACTATTGTTGTGACCTGTTTGAATTGGAGCTGAATAAGCCCATTTTGTTTTGTTGGGTTCGTTATGATTGCATTAAACTTCACGACTGCGCCACGTGCGTCATTGAGTTTTACTAATATGACGTAATTAATGTTTTAAATATTGATTGCGCTGGGCCAAACGTGATCTTTCTTTAGACCAAGTTCTGTTTACTCACACAGGTATTCACATGTGTCGGCGGTATGGTGTTCGCATTGCTCGCTGGCCAGCCTCTGATGATAACGGGCACCACTGGTCCTCTGCTGTTGCTAGATGAGTCACTCGCCAGCTTTTGCCGCTCCTACGGTTTCCACTTTCTGGCAGCGCGCATGTATTGCGGCATCTGGATGATTGTAATCGCGCTGTGCGTCGCCTCTGTAGAGGGCAGTGTCGCGGTTAAAAAGATTACCAGGTACCCAGATTCGAACATTATTTTTAAGTTGAACTGAATGTTTGATGAGCTTCTATTTCTTGCATCTATTTATAAATTATTATTATTAGGAAACATTTTATCGTTATTCTTACCAAACCGTATTTATATTCATAGTTTTTTCTTATATGTTTGTTTACTTATGTTCATATTTTTTAATAGGTTCACTGAAGATATTTTTGCGTTCCTGATTTCTCTGATCTTCATTTCGGAGCCGATTACGAATCTTATTGCCCTGTACCGGTCGCACCCACTTGGGTACGATTACTGTCAACACTCTGCTTTGCCCAATGTTACCGAAGCACCAATGCATATCAATGACACTCAGACTGGTAAGTTATTGAATCTCACTGGCTTCAACCGTTTGTATTATAAAATATCTTCATACACTTTTAATGGTCTACGAAGACTACATTGAATTTTTTATGTTTATTACCTAGTTGTTGCTTATTTTCTCAAGCAGGTGGCAACTAGTTGCCCATAATTGCAACGAGGTAAGGTTTCAAATAGCTGTATGGTTATAATAAGATATTGCGCATATACATAAAGTTTATTTGCCACTGAGTTAGAGTAATTTCGCCTTGCAAGTAAAAGAAACGGGTAAATTTGTCCTTGACTGGCATAGAACAGAGTACCTCTTCATTATACGAATTTCCCAGGCAATCAGAGTGCATCGCTGCTGCCACCACCAATGATGATCACACCTCCCCAACCGAACACGGCGCTCTTCTGCACCATGCTAACCCTCGCCACCTTCATTATCGCGTACTACCTCCGCATATTCCGCAACGGAAAGTTCCTCGGGCGCAGCGTAAGTTATTCGACCGTCACCGCAATACTTATCCCGATTTATCATTGTTCAGTACAATTAAACGCATGAATATAGTCGTCCTTTTTAAAAGTAAAATAGTAATTAACCAAATCTTAACTTTAATATGTCCTCTTTGGGCACCTAGACCTAGAACGTCGCACATCTGTCTCGTTATAAAGCTATAAAAGCATTTTATTCTCTAGTATTTTTTTTGTAGGCTCGGCGAGCCTTGGGTGACTTCGGGGTACCCATTGCCATAGTGCTGATGGTCGGCTTGTCGGTACTGGTTCCGGTGTGGACGGAGAAGTTGCAGGTTCCAGAAGGACTCAGTCCAACCGCGCAGCGCTCCTGGCTTGTGCCCTTGAACCCTGGCCTCGAGACGATCCCTATGTGGGCAGCGTTCGCCATGGTCCTGCCAGCGCTCATGGTCTATATCATAGTCTTCATGGAGACCCATATCGCTGAGTAAGCTTCCATACTGCAGTGTGTTTTAAAGGCGGGAGAGTGATTTTATGCGTTTGAATTATTAATTTTATTCGAAATTAAATACCATCTCC